TTCCCCCCCGCCCCACCCACCTGCCTCACACGGTGCAGGCCCCAGCGCTCAGACACGGAGCTGTGGGGATGAGCTTGGGCCCTACGTCACGGGGGACAAAGGGTTTAATCAGCACAGTGTTAGAGTATAATGGCCTCTTCCGAGTGAGTTTTCTAAAAAGTGGGTGAGCTCTGTGTGAGGGAATCCACTGTGATGTGCACAGTTCTGCATTCCATGGGACAGCTGTAGGGTGTCCCAGGACACGAGATGTTCTGTGGTTCTCCCACCATCCGGTCAGCTGGCCGTGGGCCTGAGACTGTGGCCCCGTCCCTGCCCTTCCTCTTCTTTCCCATGGTCATTGTCACCTTCAGTGAAGGGGCCCAGATGCCAGAAGGGTCACTCTTTTCTTTTTCACCCACCCATTTATCTACCCACTCACCCATGCACTCATCCACTCATCCATCCTTCCATCCATCCATCCCGGGCCACTCTTTTTTTAATATACATATATTTTTATTGATTTCAGAGAGGAATGGAGAGGGAGAGAGAGAAATATCAACGATGATAATCATTGATTGGCTGCCTCTTGCACGCCCCCTACTGGGGATCAAGCCCGCAACCCACACATGTGCCCTCGACTGAAATTGAACCTGAGGCCAATGCTCTATGCACTGAGCCAAACCAGCTAGGCAGGTCACTCTTAATGCTGATTAGGAAGGAGTGATTTAGAGAGAATACTGAGGGCTAGGGGCTGAAGAAGTAAAACCAGGGAGAGGCGGTCCGGTTGGGAAATGAAATAGTGATTGAATCGATGCAAAATGTAGAGGTCAAGGGGAATAATACGACAGAATGACTAGTCTGTGCAGTCATACCAGAGGGGCGCCATCCTATATAATAAAACCCTCATGTGCAAATTGACCAAACGGGGGAACAACCGGTTGCTATGGCGAGCACTGCCCCTCGAGAGGAAGGCGGCAGGTGGGGGTGGGGGTGGAGCTGGCCAGCGGGTGGTACCAGGCCACCAGCCAAGGTGTGTGCCAGCGGGGGCTCCCGATCACCCTGCCCGCCAGTCACCCCACAGATGGCCCTGATCACCGGCCCGGCCTAGGGACCCTGCCCTACATATTGGGAACAGTCTCTTAGATTTAAAGAGTAAGGCCTGGCAAGGCTACCTAACACTGAAAAAACAGGATGATGCATCGATGACATGCATGGACTCTGGCTTGCACATTTTGTGGTCAGCCCTGATTCTGACACTTATAACTGTGTGACAAAGCCAATTACTTAATTTCTCTCTGCTCCAGTTTTTCCACCCATAAGATGGGGAAAATGGTACTACTGCCTCAGAAGGATCATGTTATGTACTGCTTTTTATAATGAGAACAAAAAATGTAATTGCCCATACAACAGCAAGATGCCGCTCACCTGTATGAAAAGTATGGTCACTGGTGCATGCAGCGTCCTGGATTGGGAGAGGGATGTCCGACTGCCGGTTTAGGCCCAACATCCCCTGAGGGGTCCCCAGATTGCAAGAGGATTCGGGCCAGGCTGAGGGGACCGCCCCCACCCCCCACAAATTTCATGCACCAGGCCTCGGGTAAGAAAGAAGTGGGCAAAAAACACTGTGAGGGGCAAGTTATAGCAAAGAACTGCACTCAGCAGTCCTTAGTCACACTGTCATTTTCTTCTAGTTGAGTAAGCTTCTGTTGTAAAGAAGCCCGTATTCTGGGGGCAGAAATAATGGGCATGTGTAAGAAATGGTTGCATTCTAAATGTTGATTTAATGCAGATGTGTTTTCCTGTTCACAGGCAAAAGGGGAAACGCGGTTCTGAAAGATCTGAAGGTGGCGAACGATAAAGCCGCATCCCTTGGATTAGGTAACTTGACAGCCAGTTTAGTGTGGGTCGCTCGGAGGCGTAAGTGACTGATTGTGGGCAGCCTGCGTGAGCACCTCTGGAGTGCATGCTGGCCTGGCCCCCCGCGCCTGGGCTCACTCCACGGGCCGGGGAGCCGAGCAGCAGCCACGACAGGCCCAGCTGACTCTTCTGCCACTCGAAGTGTGCAGGGCGTTCACGCCCACCCCTGCCAGAATGCAGCCGCACCCGCTGAGCCTGTCGTGGCCTAGGCCTGCAGCTCTCTGACATCCCCCGAGGGGTCCCGGATTGCAAGGGGGCACAGGCCAGGCCGAGGGACCCCACCAGTGCATGATCGGGGCTGGGGTGGGACCGCGAGAGGACTCCAGGGCGTGTCCGGGCCCGTCTTGCCCAGTCCTGATCAGCTAGACCCCAGCAGCAAGCTAACCCCGGTCAGAGAATCTGCCCCGTGGTGGTTAGAGCACGTCATAGCGACTGGTTGAACAAACGGTCGGACACTTAGCATCTTAGGCTTTCATTATATAGGATAACATGTATCTCTCCCTAAACTTACCAGGGGCTGGAGAAGATGATGACTATGTGGATGACTTCAACAGGTAAGAAAAGCAGTTGGACAACAAGATACACATTGTAAGCACTTTCTGGACACGGGAAAGGGACAGGATCACAACGGTGCTCACTTGAGTGGGCATGGTCCCTGTTCAGAGTGATGGGGTGGGGGTGGAATGGTCCAGAGCTGCAGGTGGCCTGGAAGCCTGGGTAGATTCCACATCAGGATGTGCGTGTTCAGGAAACTCAGAATGAATGAAAGTAGCTGAAGAACTGAGTCCAGCACCAGGCCTCCTTAGGATGAGGGCCCTCCCCTCCTCCCCTTCTCTCCCCTCATCTCCACTCCCCCCTCCACCCTCCTGGCCTCGTGGGAACCGCCCACATCTACCTGAAACACGTGGCCCTCACATGATCTTTCTGACTCAGGTGAATTGTACATGGGGTAACAGGAGTTGGTCAGTCAGTCATCTGGACGTGGCGTTTGTTGTGGATATGATTAGAGACGTTAAATCGGAGGCTGCGAGTCTTATGTACGCAGCGGAGTCTTCTCTCCCAGGGAGAAGTTGTGTCTGTAACTGAGTGATGGGTGAGGTTTAGGTTGCTTTTTTGAGAGGCAACTTGGACCTTACTTTTCTCGTCTGTCCAGTTGACTGGCCCTGCTGCCTCGCAAGTGTTGTTGTTTTTTAATATATTTTATTGATTTTCTACAGAGAGGAAGGGAGAGGGATAGAGAGTTAGAAACATGGATGAGAGAGACATCCATCAGCTGCCTCCTGCACAGCCCCCACTGGGGATGTGCCCGCAACCCAGGTATATGCCCTTGACTGAATCGAACCCGGGACCCTTGAGTCCGTAGGCTGACGCTGTATCCACTGAGCCACACCGGTCAGGGCCCCAGAGTGGTTTTCAGGGTCGGGTAGATCGTGGGGGAAGCTGGTGGGCTGTGCTCTGTTTGAGGTTAGAGTGAGTGTTGAAGAGGCTGCGGCCGCAGTGACCGCCCTGCTCTTCTCTGTCCCTGGACCAGCACCAGCCACCGCTCGGAGAGGAGCGAGCTGAGCATCGGCGAGGAGATCGAGGAGGACCTGTCCGCGGAGCTGGATGAGGCCAACACCAGTGACAAGGTCGGGCGGAGCGTGGCGGCGCGGGCCCGGGGCTGCCTCGGTTCATGGTCACATACAGCGCTAGGCGCTCACACGGATGAGCGAAGCAGCTGAAAACGGTGGGGAATCGATGGCAGATGGACCTGGTTCAAGTCCGAAAGAATCCTTTGTGAGGGCGTGAGATGGTTTCCACTGTCACCCCTCTGTCACTGATGGGGTGCTTTGGGGGGCCCGTGTTACCGGGCCTCACTGCTGGGGTCTCAGTGGCCCAGGGGTCAGGGCTGGGTCGGACCGACCCTTGGGGTGTGGGCAGTCGGTGCAGGAGGAGCCGTGCTCAGAGGACACCACGCAGGTTGGTGCGAGCCAGCCTGTGAGAGCAGGGGCGCAGCTGGGGCTGCCTGTGGTGTCAGGCTCTGCACAGCAGGGCGGGGCCACACACGCAGGGGAGACGGCGCAGCGGAAGTGGAGCCCGGGTAGAACTGGAGTCTGTATTGGGTTCCACATTGAGCCTTCGATTAGGCAGAGAGCAGGATGCCCAAGATGTGTGAGGTGGCGTCTCAGGATCACATGTTGGTGCCAAGAGAGCTGTGGGCGTCTCATGAGCCTGCCTTCCCCACGAGCATGCCCTCTGAGCGCCGTGACCTTTGCTTAGGATTGCAGCGGGAGGCCTTGGGGCGAGGGAGGCAGCATTTGCAGTGAAGACAACACTCTGCCCCGCAGACCTGGGCTTGCGCTCGCCCTGCAGGCCCTGCCTTCTCTTTCTCAGCGAGCTCTCTGGCCGTTCACCTGTCAGCTCAGCCTGTGCGCTCGGGCTCAGCGCAGGAGGAAGGGCGGGCGAGGGGGCTGCTGGGCAGCAGTGGGGGCCCGAGGTGATCTCGCGGTGCAGCACCGTGTTTAAAGAGATCTGAGGCTGCGTGCTGACTGACTCATCTGTCCTCTGTCTGAACAACAGCTCGACGACCTGACGCAGGACCTGACCCTGTCGCAGCTCAGCAACGTCGCCGACTACCTGGAAGACGTCGCCTTCACCTGAGGGAGGAGCGTCGCCACCGCCGAGGGCAGACGGAGTCTCCCACCACCTCCGTCTCCCAGGCCGTCCTGGCTGGAGTTTGCTCTGCTGGTGCCTTGTGTTTCAGAACGAGTGCAGAGATTTTTAGAAATTACTTTTCATTACACTAAACAGAACCCTCCCTCGGAGCCCTCGCGTGGGAGATTTCCGTCTTATCCTGGTTACCTGCCCGTTTCACTCAGAAATGAATTCTGCTCAGATGCCTGACAGGAGCGCACCGTGAACAGCAGTGTTAGAGCAAAGCGAAGGTGTCAGTAACACTGCAGGCCCCAGGCACGCGTGGCCGTGGTCTTCTAGGTCTCGCGTGGTTGGTGCGGGCGGGGCTGCAGTTGGGGCAGAAGGATCGGCCGCCAGAGCCCAGCCCTGGGTGAGACGCCTCCGTCCGGGAGGTGCTGTGGCAGTGTTCGGGGGTGCTGCTAGCTCTTCCTCCTCAAGAGCGGGGTGTGGGGGTTCCTTGGTGTGGTTGTCATGGCGGCGGCGCGTCGCTGCTGTGTCCACTTGAGAAGCCATCCTCGCAGGCCCTCTGAGAGCTCAGTTACCCTCTGTGACCCCGTCTTGAAACTTTAAATTCCAGGGCACATCTGGCCCAGCAGCGGTGCTTCTGTCGGGCCTGTGCGTGACTGTGGGGTCCAGATGGGATGGGGCAGGAGCGACGGCTCAGATGTGTCCAGGGGCAGCTTCCCGCCGCCATTCCACCGTCACCTTAGTGTTTACAGGGGCCACTGAGGCCCGCGGTACTGACTGTGGCACGGTTGGGAGTGACGCGTGCCTGTTCGTATAATTATAAGTGAAGCTGTGATTGCATGGTCAGTTTTGTACTTTTTTATTTCAATTAAATGATGGCTTTTACTAAAAGTCACTTTACCAGTAAGAGGAGAACTTAATTCATTGACCTCAGTGGGGGCAGACTCGATGGTCAGTGTGTGCTGTTCTCATTTTATCTCAGCCTCACGGCCACAGGAACACTGGCGGCCCTGACGTGGGAAGGGAAGTGGTAGCGTGAGGATCAGGTTGTAGAACATAGGAATTTGCATCTGTAAATTCAGGTGACACTGAGCCATAAACGCCAGCAGGAGCTAGGACAGCACGTGGGCCGGCAGCCTGGACGCGCTGTCCTGCCCTCTGAGTGTGGGCTGCCCACACGCGTGGTCGGCGCTGTGTGAAGACGCGGCGGTCGCTGGCGTCCTGGTGCCGCCACTGGTGCGCTTCCCATGTCTGTGTCCGCCCTCAGGAGCCAGGCAGCCGTGTGACGTGTTAGTTCCCTGCTTGGTGGGAGCTGGACCTCGGTGGCATGGAAGGGCCGCAGGAGGTGGCTTTTACCGTGGGAGGACCGTTTGGACAGTTGACCTGAGATGTGTCCCTGTGACCAGAGTCGGACCTTCAGTCATCTCGGGGGGCGGGGGAGGGGGGTGTGTGGAGAGAGAACGCCAAACACGGAACTGCTTTCTCATCAGCCTCCATTGTAAATACTCCGCTGTGAAAAGTCTTATTTCCATGTGTGTGCTTCGATGGGACAGGGTTTGAGTGTGCTTAGTGTGTGTGTGTTAAGTGCATATTGAAATACCTGTGAAATCCATCTTCATGGTAAAACCTGTATTTTACAGGGGTTTTCCAAATGCTAGCTCTCATTTTATTGGCGGTGACACGAGTGAATAAAAAGCTCGCATCTTTCATATTTGGTGTTGTGTGCCAGTCTCCATGTCATCTGGGCCCCTCTTGGCTCCCTTGCAGCCCCAGCACCCGGCCTGTTGGGCGTGCCCATTCCCCAGAACTGTGCCCCCAGAACCCTGCCCGGCTGGCTCCTTTCCCTCTTGTTCTCAGAAGCTCTGGCCTGGGGTGGTTTCTTCCCAGCCTGCCCCTGTCACGGTTCCCCGTGTACCTTACTCCCCTGGCCCCTGTCTGATGGGGCTGTTTCTGGTCCAGAAGCTCCGTTGGCGCGGGGGCAGTTCTGAACCCCTGGTGGTTGAATAGCATCTGCCCAGCAGGCTCTAAGCCAGCGTTTCTCAACATGTGAGTCCGTAGGCTGACGCTGAAAATACATCCTGCATATCAGATATTTACATGAGGATTCATAACAGTAACAACATTACAGTTACAAAGTAGCAACGAAAATAATGTTATGGTTGGGGGTCACCACAACATGAGGAGCTGTATTCAAGGGTCACGGCCTTAGGAAGGTGGAGAGTCTAAGTGCTGGCTGGGGCCTGGGGCAGCCGTCCTCACCCTGACCCGAGACCGGGCTCACGGTTCAGTGAAGGGCCCACCAGGCAGGTTGGAACATTGCTCTCAAGTGTGGAGGCCCGCTCCCACGTTCCCACAGGGCAGAGGTGGCATGGGATTGAAGAAACAAGAGACCGGGGTTTAGGAGGGCTGGCACAAGGCACAGCACCTTTATTCTTTACACACACTGTTTTATGGCTAAGCTGTAGCTGGTCATGCTTCATAGATGACTGTTAGGGCTTGGCCTCTCATGGGGAAGTAGCAGATAGTTACAGGCTGGGCAAGACTGGCAAGCTTTGTCTAGTTCCATCTATGTTTGACAGTTGCTATGACAAAATGTCTGCTTGCCTAGATCACAAGAACTGGGGTGCAAATCAAGTTCATGTCCTTTACATGACTTGGAGTGGGGTCAGGCCTTTCCTGTAGCCCCACGGCCTCTTACACTCAAGGGAAGTGGACAGCTGTCCTGTCCATGGCGTGGAGGCAGCTGGACCACGACCAATTGGACAGGAAAGGGGATCAAGGAAGGGCCGCCAAGCCACACAGACCCCCTGCTGGGCGCTGGGGTCCCACCTGCGCCTGCATGTGCACAGCCCCGGGGTCCAGCGGCAGCTTCTGTTCTGGGGAAACTGGTGGGAACGAGGGAGGCTCCCTTGGAGTCATCATGGTGGCTCCCAGAGCCAGGATCGCAGTCCGGCCGCCAGGGAGGTGAGCAGCGGCCGCCAGGCCTCTGAATCTGATGGAGGGTCTGCCAGCAGAAAGGCGATGCTGAGACCCTGGGTGCCCAGGACCAGTGGGATCCCCAGCAGTGAGCCAAGGCCACGCCCAGGGAGCCACCCAGCAGGGCGTGTGGGCGGGGACACAGGTGCAGCTGGAAGGAGGGCCCCTGCGCCTGACCTCGGCCTGACCTCGGGACCGGGACCGAGGGGCCGGCCTGTCCTGGGTGAACCGCACACCCAGGACATGGAAATGATTTTCCCAACAGGGAGAGTTGGGACCTGGCTGCGCTGGGATGTGTGGGAAGGAGAAGAGACTGGATCGGTTTCCCGTGAATTTCTGTTCCTCCTCCGAGGCCTCACTCATGAGTCACTTCCCTAAAGTCTTAGTGTAACCATCTCAGATCTGCTTCCTCCCGGGTCCCTCTGCCCATGCTGAGCCAGGACCCCACCCCTGCTCCCCAGCACCCATGGGGCGACATGAAAGCCACGCATTGTGAGAGAGCAGGGTGCACCGGGAGGCTTACACTGAATGGGAATTCAGCTCCCGAAATGCGTTGTAACTCTCTTCCCAAGAGAACAGGATAAGTGACCTGTGCAGGGCACTGCAGGCCAGCGTCCACGGTGAGTGGTGAAGTGTGCAGGTCAGCAGTTTGGGGTTATTCCCAGAGTTGTGCCATTGTCACTGCCACCCATCTTCCTCCTGGAAAAGAACCTCAGACGCATCGCAGTTGCTCCCCGTTTTCCACTCCACCCCCCACTTCCCCAACACAGTGCTGCTTGTCCCTACAGACTAAGCCAGTACTGGACTTTGCTTATACTGAATTATACAACACTGGAGCCTAGTGCACGAATCCATGCACCAATGGGGTCCCTCGGCCTGGCCTGCGGATTGGGCTGAAACTGGCTTTCCAACATTCCCTGAGGGGTCCTGGATTGTGAGAGGATGCAGGCCAGGCCAAGGAATCCCACTGGTGCACGATCGGGGCTGGGGAGTGGCCGCAGGAGGGCTCTAGAGAGTATCCAGCCTGTCTCACTCAGTCCCAATTGGCCTGACCCCAGCAGCAAGCTAACCTACTGGTTGGAGCGCCTGCCCCTGGTGGTCAGTGCACGTCATAGCGAGCAGTTGAGCAGCCTTAGCATATCATTAGCATATTACACTTTGATTGGTTGGACAGAGGACTGGACACTTAGCATACTAGGCTTTTATTATATAGGATATAACAATGTTGCCTTTCATGACTGGCTTCTTTCACTTAACACAGTGTTTTCTAGGTTAATCCACATTGTAGCATCTCTCCTGATCCATTTCTTTTTGTTGCTACATAGTATCCCCCAGTGTGGATATACCAGGTGTACCGGTTAATAATGCAGATTTTTTTCACTAGATGGAGTTACACATATGTTGATATACATGCGATTTGACATGTATGCTATTTTGTTGTATTGATAATAAGCTTCCAAACTTCATAAGTCAAATTTTTTGAAGGTGTTAACAACATAGATATTTTTACGCTTAGAAATGTTAAATTTTGTGCCCCCAAACGAGCGTTTGTGGGAAGTTTTAATTCATTATTTTGAAAAAAATTGCTACTCAATACTTCGAGAAGCTTATGGTGAACATGCTCCATCTCAAGATACTTGTGACCACGGGTTTCAACGTTTTAAAAGTGATGATTTCGATGTGAAAGACAAAGAACGTCCAGGTCAACTGAAAAAGTTTGAAGACCAACAATTACAAGCATTATTGGATGAAGATGCGTGTCAAACTGAAAAACAACTTGCGGGAAGATGAAACGTTGCTCAGCAAACAATTTCTGATCGTTTACAAGCAACAGGAAAGATTTTAAAGGAAGGAAAATGGGTGCCACATCAACTGAACGAAAGACAAATGGAAAACCGAAAAGTCATCAGTAAAATGTTGCTTCAACGGCACGAAAGAAAGTCTTTTTTGCATCGAATTGTGACTGGCGATGAGAAGTGTGTTTATTCTGAGAATCCCAAACGCACAAAATCATGGGTTGATCCAGGTCAACCATCAACATCGACTGCAAGGCTAAATCGCCTCGGAAAGAAGACAGTGCTCTGCCCCAGCTGCTTTGGCTCAATGATAGAACGTCAGCCTATGGACTGAGGGGTCCCCGGTTCGATTCCAGCCAAGGGCACATGCCTGGGTTGTGGGCTTGATCCCCAGCGGGGGGTGTGCAGAAGGCAGCCCATCCATGATTCTCTCTCATCATTGATGTTTCTCTGTCCCCCTCTCCTTTCCTCTCTGAAATCAATAGAATAGATTAAAAAAAAAAAAGAGGAAGACACTGCTCTGCGTTTGGTGGGAGCAGGAAGGTGTG